TATATATATATATATATATATATATATATATATATATATATATTTTGATGTGTATATACATAAGTTTAGATATATATTTTTTATTTTCTATTGTTTTATTGTTTTAATAAATTAATTTAAGTTAATTATGCAACAAAATTAAAATATTTTAAAATATATTTTAGCTAAAGATATTTTATTGTTGTTCCAGTAAGAGAATAGTAGTTGGAGAATCCTTAGTGATGTGAATCCTAAGAGAAGAGAACCTAGTCTTCGTCCTAGCCTAGAACATTCAAGGGTGAAAAACCTTCCTTTTCTCGGTCTCCTTTTTCCTTATTTATATGGGTCTCATATTCATGATACGAATCTTTGATCCTGATCTCCTAAACTGCACTTGGATCCCCTTTTATAATGAGCCTATGAATTGTATTTATAATTATAATCAAGCTTGTGCAAGAATCACGTGAATCACAACCTTGACTAATTTTATTGGAGATCACTCGTTAATACGTCAATCACTAGTCATAGTTTGGGTTGCTTGATCGGATGGGGATCAAGAAAGTATATGTTGTTCGGTTTGCTCAGCCGACTAGGGGTCAGGAGGGTACACAGCCCTCTTGGCTCAAGTGTTGGTGACACCAAGAGCCATTGATCATCTAGTTCAGGCAATTGGAGATCTGGAGGGTACACAACCCTTATGGTTTAAGCGTTAATGATGCGAAGAGCCATTGATTGGCCAATTTGGCCAATTGGAGATCTGAAGGGTACACAACCCTCCTAACTCAAGTATTAACGACGCTAAGAGTCATTGATCGACTAGTTTGGCCAATTGAAAATTTGGAAGGTACACAACCCCTATTGGCTCGAGTGTTAATGACACTAAGAGTCATTGATTTGCCAGTTTGGCTTTGAGATCTAGAGGGTACATAGCCCTCCTGCCTCGAGCATTAAGGACGCAAAGAGCCATTGATAAGCTAATTTGGCCAATTGGAGATTTAGAGGGTATACATCCCTCTTGGTTCACGTGTTAATGACGTGAAGAGCCATTGATCAGCCAGTTCGACTAATTGGAGATCTGGAGGGTACAATTATGAATAACTAAATTAAAAGAACATTTTTTATGAATAATTAAATTAAAAAATATATTTTAAAATCATAATAATTATTTTTTAACTGTTAAATAACGTATTTTAAAATAATATAATAAAAAAGTAATAATATAGTACTTAAAACATATTTTAAGATGTTTTGGGTTGCAGTGTCAGCTTCAAGCAGATAATTCAGGTGTTCTGTTTAGGAGAGTTTAGTTTCTTTTGTTCTCTTCTTTCGTCTTTTGCCTTTTAGCAATATATTATCAAAAAAAAATATCTCTAAAAGATAAAAGTATAATTTCTTTGATATTTTAACATATTGAAAGTGGATAATGTAATACTTACATCTCTTATAAGAGAAAAATATAATTTACATTAAAGAAATTAAGTTAAATGAACTAAGTTATATATTTAAACATACGAGGAAGAGACAATGTAATATTTTTATCCCTTAAAGAAGGATAACCTAATTTACTCTTAAAATTTTGTTTGGGGACACTTCTAAATTTGAAAACACTAACTTGTGTAATTTGCATGTCATTCTAAATTTTAATTTTATTATTGTTATTATACATCAAATGGATTTGATATTTCAAAAATAAACTAGAATAAAGTAAAGAATCATGGCCGTTTATTAGAAAACAAACAATAAAAATTCTAATAAATTCATAATTTGTTATTCATGTAATGATTTTTTTTTTCAGCAACACACAGAATATTTATGCAATAATATTTTAAGAGAATTTCTCTTTGACGAGAGGATTTTTAAAAATTCTTTTGAAAACTCATATTTAATTTAATTTATATTTATTATATAATTATTTATGAATTAAAGTTTGATATTTTAAAATAAATTGTGAATTAATAAAAATAATCTTGTTATACAATATAAATTATTTATCATAAATATAAAATATGATTTATATATTTAAAAGTTTTAAATATGATTTTAGTATATTATATTTAAGGTAAATTTGTTTTTAGTTTCTCAAATTTAAAACTATTTTTTTAATTATGTAATTTTCAAATATCTTATTTTAGTCTCTAAAGTCACCAACAACCTATCTATAAGTGACAAATTGAAACAGTTATGTATCATACACTTGATTTAATGTGATATTTTTACTAATAGAGACATTAATATGTCGATTTTATGCAACAATATTTTACGGTTTTCCTAACAAAATTTGAGTATAAGAACTAAAACAAGATTTTTGAAAATTATATGACTAAAACAAAATTTTTGAAATTATAAAACTAAAAAGATTATATTTGAATTTGAGGGATTTAAAAAATTTTTTATATTTGATGGAATAAAAGTATATTTAAGTTTATTTAAAATAATTTATTTATGCAAATTTTAAATATAATTTATATATTCAAACATAATATTTATTATTTATATACATAATTTATTTTAAATTTTAATTATTCATAATAAATATTTAATATATGTATTACATAGATTAAAATACTAGTTATTTATTTATTTTCTAAAATGAGCTGCTCATTTAAACTAAAGAGAAAAATCAAATATATAAATTCATTTACGGATAAATAAAAGATTTTCCATATATATGTATACACCAAACATTATGGAACAGGAAACACAAAAGGAAGTTTGATGTATTACCTAACAAGATTATTTGCGACGGAGGCACTCCAGCACCTGCAACAATAAGCTGAAAGTGAACGAAAATTTTCCAATTGTAAATTCACAAAAGTGGTACCAGCTGTTTTCAATTGAATTGAAGCTACTATTGCGTTGAATTTCTTCAATATCAATCCTGTTCATATACCTAATTGAATTTCTTGAATTAAACTTGCAATCGCTCACGTAATTGCCCAAAAATAGAGTTGAATTACAGAAGCTAAATGTGGCGTTTTCATGTCACGTGATATGTTCTTTTTCCTTTTCATTTTAATTGAGAAATTTAGTGCCATTAAATCATCTCAATTTAATGGCTGAGATTAGCTATAATTAAGTTTCATTACTTATGTATAGTGTCAACGTATTCTGCTTTTTAACAGGATAGTATCTCAAAAGATTAATCCGGAACTTTCGATATGGATTTTGTTAAGTTGTCTTTGACAGTCTAATGTATTAATTATAGTATTTTGTGACTTGCTATAATATTTCTTTGATATGAGTGAGTGTATCGATGATTTCATATCATTTTATAGAATAGTGAGGATATAGTATATAAATCGGAGCGATTTTTACTTTATAAATATGTCTACTTTTTATAAAATTGAATTAGATTCCAATATAATTTTGTAAGTTGGAGATCCTATATTTATAGTTTTAAAAACTAGACCGATTATTAAATTGATTAAGGGATATTGGGTTAAAAATTAAATTAGTAGGTTATTAATTAAATCTTATGATTTAATTTTTATTAATTTTTTATAAAAAAAATTCATGTTAAATATATTTTACTTAAAAAATATAACACACAAATATTTTCTACCAAAGAACTAGTGACTCTGATTCTTCATTACACATGAAGATACGTAGGAGCAAGAAATAAATCTTGTCGAGCCAAAAAATAAAAAATATATTATTTTCCTTTTTATATAACAATAATAATTTTGATTTTTTGTAATGCATTAGTTAAATTAGTTAAATAAAATATATTTAATCATTTTAAGTGAGATAAATATTTTATAAATTATAATTAATTTTTTTAATTAATTCAAGGTAATCGTCTTAGGACGAACGTTATGAGGTGCTAATATCTTCCTCACACGTAATCGACTCCCGAACTCAAAAATTTGGTTTTCGTAGACTATTTTCTACTTTATGGTTTTTCCAGTGTTTTTCCGTAAAAAATAACATTGGTGGCGACTCCCTCTTTTTTAATTTATTTTTCGCTGTCCCGTCGCGATCTCGGTTGCAACACCCATAATCAAAATAATTTCTTTGTTACAATATAAATTATTTATTATGAATCTTAAATATAATTAATATGTTTAGAATTATTTATTATGATATTGAATTACAATATAATATATTTATTTGAAAGTATTTTTTTACTCAATATTCAAAAGTATTTATTTATTAGGTTAAAATATACTTTTAGTCTCATTGTAATATTAAATTTGTAATTTTGATCCTCTATTTTTATTTATACAATTTTAGTCTTCTAATTTTATAAAATTTACAATTTTAGTCATCTCATTAAACATTTATCCACTGATAGTTATAATTGTAACATTATTTATGATCTAAGATTAAATATACCACATAACATTTAATATCTAATAATATCTAGGCTAAATTTCACTTTTAATTCCCATTTTCTCGTGAGTTCACATTAGATAGATGACAATATAATTAATATCTAATAATATTTAAATTAAATTATACTTTTAGTTATTTTTTTTATCACTTTTTCATCTCATTTTACCACTTTTATGAAATAAAAATGATAACTAAAAATAAATTTTAGTTTGTATATTATTGAATATTAATTATTATATCATTTATTTAATCTTAAATCATGACTAGTATTACAATTTTAATAATTAATGTCAACAAAATAACCAAAATTAAAGGTTTTATAAAATTTAAGACTGAAATTACTTAAGTAAAAATAAAAAGACTGAAATTTAAGACAACAATTATGAATTTTAATATTATAGGAGAACAAAAAATATAATTTTACCTATTATTATTAATCATAAATATATAAAATAAATATTTATCAGTTGTATTTTTTTATAAAATTTTATTACATGTATTGTACAAACTAAAATATCAATAATATATATATATATATATATATATATATATCACATTTGA